CTTATTCGAAAATAGCTCCACCTGGCCGAATTAAAAACACAGCTACTCCCTTGGAATTTTTAAAGTTTCGATCTTTGTGGTGCGATTCCAATGCTATGCCGATTGAGTTGCTTGAGCGGCGCATCAGACAGACTTGCAGGAACTTCTTTCAATAAGCTGTAGAAAGAAATGTAATTTACAAGAGGCTTAACTTGAATTTGTTTTGAAACTTGGAGTTGTTGCTTGGATGTAAGGCAACTAATTTATATCGCACTAACGACATGCAGTTAGAATTTTGTACTTCATTGTGCTGCTCTCACCTTACGCAAGGGACTGACTATAACTCTCATGTTTTATGAACCATTGGTGATTGGCTACGGTATATCCTAAGCATTGTTTGACGTCACAGGTTTGTTCAGCATCGACATGCCGCCGTCCGAACCTTTCAAACAGGTCACAGCTTCGCGTTAGTTCAGAAATAAAAGAGAAAGAAAACCAAAAAGTATCAGAAGACGACAAGGACAAAGAAACAATAGAATGTGGAGAAGAGAAGGCTTCAAACTGGAAGGATAACAACATGTGTTAGCACTTTATTTTCGTTGAATGGATGACAACGTATGTACAAAGGATTTCAACGACTGGAATCCTAGCATTTGTACATTCGATGGTAGAGTACTGTGCGGTGCTGGGATGGGGAGCACTAGGAAGCAACCATACACAAGACTTGTCGCGAAATTGTATGATATCATGCGCATCATGATCGAAACTCTCACATTTACGACTTTTTCATTGTTTCTGGTATTTTCGAACATCACACTATTTATCCTGGCGCTGTGATCAAGAGAAAGGTCACATATCTGCCTCTGAATATTATAAGGCGAAAGAAAATTGGCGAATTGATAATCCTTCTCTTCTACACCCAAAAATGCAAGGCTTTCTGGAGTTGGGGGAGGTCGTTAGGCACTAAATGATATCCACCAACGAATCATGGGAAAAAATTTTTTGCAGCATGATGTTTACTGGACAAGCATCTACTCTTAAATCTGAAACAAAGAGTAGCTTGGATTTCATCTGCCGTGGAGAAAGCTCGAAGTACCGCATTCGCACTTCTGATGAACGGAGCGCACACCTGTTCTATACCGAGGTTGTTCAGTTGTTAATGCGTGAAACTCAGAACCGAGAGGTCTCAGATTCGTGCCACGTGGGGTTACTCGCCTTCTTTCTTTCCAAGATTGATGCTTGGTAGTAAGGAAGCAGGAAACTACATACCATGTTTCTCACGTAGATGCTGTCAACTCAACCTTTAAAATATGGCACTCTTGGCTGGATGGCACTCTTGGCGTCCCACCGTTAACTTTATGAAGGGAGGGGCTCTGGAAATGCCCTTGCCATGAAAGTGTATAGAAGAATGACATTCCAATGATTACTGAATTTCATTCTTTTTTCTTATTGTTGAAATAGAGGCTGGAGAAATCATAGAATACGATTACGGTGCTCCTCACCGAATGTTTGGACATGTTATTAAGGAGTGCTCACAACGGTCCTTCATGCGAACCATTCGATTCATTCTCGCTGCTGCCGCGAAAATCATTTACTGGATATCCTCAATAGATCTCGGTATAAGGATAAATGAGTCTGCCGACTGGAAGACGCAAATTTTTTACTGGACCAAGAGCCCTCCAAACAGGCGAAATGCGAGGCTGTTCGGTAGTACTCGTATTTTTCGTCATTGTTTATTGTTCAAATTCAGAGAATGTCGCTCGTTGACAGACAGTGCTTAATGATGCCGTAGTCGAAGATATTTATTTAATAACATCTTTCATTGTTATGAGATTGATAACTGTTGTGTATTAAATCCACATTTTTAACATATCATGTAATTACATGGGAATTATATCTTCCTGAAATATCATTGGAACGAACAAGGTATTGGAAGTTGTATTTTTTGCACTGCAGTAGTTCAGACTGTGAAACCGTAATCTCTTTAGTGTTCGCCTTCATGAGGCGATGTAGTACGCTCTGAACTTAAATTCCATATTGTGGATTGCTAATCTACGTATGGCGTTTGAATCTCACATACTTGATGCTTCATAATGCTTGTTTCATCTAGGATCTTGCTCGCGAGTTCTTCGCTTTAGCTGCAAATGCTGAGGAGGGCGAGATGCCCCCGGAACTGTCGTCTTGCATGAAACGACTGTGGCACGATGGCGGTATTCAGGAGTGCTTCTCCCGATCAAGGGAATTTCAGCTGAACGATTCTGCTCCATAGTAAGCTTATTTTTTTCTTTTACCCATTTATTTGCTTTTTGTTTATTCTATTCTTTACTTTTCTGGTAATGTTTATTTATGGTCGATTCCCTTCCGGCTAATAAGTTTGCATTAGTTAATTGAGAGTTGCGTTAGTTACTCTGGAATACCGTTAACACCTTGGAAGAGATGTATGCTAGAACTCCGGCGTCATCCTTCCAAGCCCGGTTCAGAAAGCACGAGGGTTGGAGACCGTGGTGAAATCTACCTACAATTACACCAATTTCCTCTTCATCGTACTGATGCCATCGAACATTATACCGGCTTGGTCGTCGGCCAGCTTACCAAGGGCACTATAAGCTGTTCAGGGACTGAGGCAGGCTCCGAAAAGTCGAGGATCAGAACCTGCTCATCGACCTCTGCCAGCCAGGGGGAAGCGGCACAACAACGACTGACGAAGACGGATGGAACGACGAGGAAGATAACATTAAGCAACGGAGTCGCTACCCGTTCTTGCAGTTGGAAGCAGACAGCGCGATGCCATTATAGCACGTCAAAAAAGGGTCCACGAGAACGACACCACCAGTGGGACCTTAAAGTCGGAAATTGGGACATATCCTCACTCAGAGGAAAAAAACAAAAATTAGTTGATGAGGCCATGAAGTACCAACTAGACATTGTTAGACTTTTGTCCGCGGAGCGCCAGTTCTCTGGAATTCTGAACCTCTGCGCGGAAGCTATTTTGCTCAGGTGTCGACATCATGACGCGCGCTCAAGCCGGTGTTCTGGTAGAACTCAACCTCGCACATAGAATCACTGAATGGAAGTCAGTCAGCAGAAAGGTGGTGATCCTCCGACTGAAGATATGACAGGCTGAAGCTTC